ACAAAACAAGCCTATTGCCTGGAGTCAACTCCACCCTCTGGGGATCTCAGCTGGGGGTTCCAAAACTGCAACTCTTCCCGCCACACCCCACGCCTCTATGTTTGACATAAACTCGGTTGTTGCTAAAGACTCCAGTCCATTTCCGTTTGACCTTTCCTTCTTCTTTCTTTCTTTATTTTAAGCCACTCAGACCAATATTTTGATCTAAAGGGAAAGGAATCTGGAGGGTTCTAGTTTTTTTTTTCATTTCTTGTCTTTGTTTTTTTAATTATTTTATTGGGAGCTCATATAACTCTTATCACAATCCATCCATCCATCCATTGTGTCAAGCATCCATTTGTACATTTGTTGCCATCATCATTGTATACGGTTATATAGCCCATCTCCACAAATGAAATCAACAGTATCTCATTAGACCCTTCATAACTGTGGTTCTCTTTTTGGGGGGCCACACCCATCTTTCCTCCTCCCCTCCTCAGTATCCTATCTGTCCCCTCTTTGTCTTCCCACTGTGTCCCTGGCCTCCAAGTAGCCATCCCAAAGCCGGAGAAGAGGGGAACACGCACAAGCCACCAAGTCATTAAGAATGTAAACTTTCCAATCTAATGGGAGCGTCCCCAATTCCAACTCTTTTAAACAAGGAACTGTAGAATGATTAGAAAAGACTCTAATACACTTTTGCATGTGTGACTTAGAGATGAGATCTACAGTGACCTGACTCAGGATGCCTGGACGCATTGCTAAATTACTGATGGGGGGAGGAGAGTTGGTGGTTGGACCTAATGGTCTGGGTGGGTGTGGGATGGACCCCAGTGCTGTCGTGATAATGTGTCCAGCTGTATGAGTGTGAAAATGGCAAAGTGGACACGTCCACAGTAGGGTACAGTCCATATAGTTCCTAAGGACCATGTTGACACATGTTGGGGGACACGTGTGTATTAAAACGAAGCAAACGTTCATGTCCCTCAGAGTCCTTTTCTTGGCGCCAGCTGGATGGAGTGTAGGTGTGTTCTTTGGTCTCTAAACCTGCCCTGATGGTGCCAATGGTCAAGATGCTGGCCTGCTAACTGAAAGGTTGAAGATTTGAGTATCTCTATAGACACCTTAAGGAGCTCTCGTGGTATAAGGGTTGTGTGTTGGGCTGACAGCTGCAAGGTCAGCAGTTCAAAACCACAAGTTGCTCCTTGGGAGATAGATACGGCGTTCTACTCCTGTAAAGAGTTACAGTCTCAGAAACCTGCCTATAGGACTATAACCTGCCTATCGTCCCTATAGGACTGCCTATAGTCCCTATCAGACTGCCCTGTCCTATAGGGTTGCCAGAATCAACGGATGGCAGTGAGTTTAATTTGGGTACAGACACCTTCGAAAAAGACCTGGTGACAAACTTCTGAAAAATCAGCCATTGGAGCGCATCCAAAACCTAACTCAAGATGGACCCAGGACTAAACGTAGAACTCTAGAAATCATGAAAGACAAACAAAAGAGAGAGAGAGACTATGCTCGGGACCCTATTATATGGTGTTGACAGGAAGAGATACAAAACAAAATCCAGAATACACAAATAGCAGAAGATGAATTAGATAAATGGGACCTTCTTAAATGAAATCCTTACACCCATCAGAAAAGCAAAAGAAAGCCTTCAGATGAGGAAACAATGTTTGACGAGGACATATCAGACCAGAGGAGTCTGCTCTCTCAACCGGACAGAAAACATTAACACTTCAACAACAAAAAGGCAAACAATCTGACTGAAAATTGACAAAGAATAGGAATAGACACATCACCAAAGAAGTCAAGCAGCTAACAATCATGAAGAGATGCTTGTGACCATTAGCCCTCAGAGAGATGCAATCAAAACCACCCGAGGTACCATCTCACCCTGACAATAATGGTCTTAATTGAAAAAGAGAAAATGACACCTCTTGGTGAAGTCCTCTGGAGGCTGGGCACTTAGATCCCCTGCAAGTGAGAATGTGCAATGACAGGACCACAGTAGAAAATGGTGCTGCATTTGCTTAAAAATTGGAAACTTAAACACAACACAGCCCAGCTACTCTTTCTTTCTTTTTTTAAAGATCATTTTATTGCAGGCTCTTACAGTTCTTACAACAATCCATACATGAACTGTATCAAGCATATTGGTACATATGTTGCCATTATCATTTTCTAAACATTTGCTTTCTATTTGAGCCCTTGGTATCAGCTCCTCTTCAACCCCCACCCCCACCCCGTGACCCCTTGATAAATTATTATTATTTTTATATCTTACAATGACCACTGTCTCCCTTTCCCCATGTTTCTGTTGTTCATCCCCCTGGTGGGGAGGGTTATGCGCGGATCATTGCAATCGGTTCCCCCTTCCTCCCCTCCTCTCCCCACCTTCGCCATCCCCTCCCGGTATTACTATTCCCATTTCTGTTACTGAAGGGTTTATCTGACCTGGATTCCATGTGTTGTAAACTCTTATCTGTACCAGTGTACATGCTCCGGTCTAGCCAGAACTAAAAGGCAGTACTGGGGTCATGATAGTGGGGAGTGAGGATGCCTCAAAGAACCAGAGGAATATTCTGTGTTTCATTGGTGCTATACTGTACCCAGGTTGACTCATCCCTTCTTTGTGACCCTTCTGTGAGGGGATGTCTTATTGTCTAAAGATGAGTTTTGGGTCTCTGCTCTGCCCCCCCCCATTTTCAATAGTATGGTTTCTCATTTTGTTTTGGGTCTTCTGATGCCTGCTACCTGATTCCATCATCACCTCATGATTGCACAGATTGGTGTGCTTCTTCCATGTGGGCTTGTTGCTTCCCTGCTGACTGGCTGCTTGTTTAACTTCAAGCCTTTAAGTCCCCAGATGCTATGTCTTTTGATAGCCTGGCACCATCAGCTTTCTTCACCACATTTGCTTATGCACCCATTTCGTCTTCAGTGATCGTGCCAGAAGGGTGAGCATCACAGAATGCCGGGTTGTTAGAATAGTGTTCTTGAGTTGAGGGAGGGCTTGAGGAGAGGCCAAAAGTCTGTCCTCTTCCTCAATGTATTGCCATATAAATATATGTACATGGGCCAATACCTCTGTTTGCGAATTAATATATTTACATAAGTGCACACCTATCTTTATATCTCTATCCATAGCTTTGTTTCCTAGATCTTCCTCTTGTCCCACCATCATGCTTGCCCTTCTTTTGCCTCTTAGTACTTCCTCTCAGCTAGATTGCTGTTGCTCCAACGCTACCAGGATCTCTATGTGCTCCTTGTTGTTGCTTTTAATTCCCTAGTTGTTCCCCTGTCTATGGCATTGTTTGCTCACCCTTCCCCCTCCCCCCTCCTCCCCCAACTCTCTCCAGAATCATCAGTCCCATTGCTTTCTCTTCGGGCTTGCTTCCCATGCCTATCTTAGACAGTTAGTCAAAACAGCAACGGAGACGAGCCAAAAAGAAAACAAAGGATTGAATAAAAAAAGGTAAAAAAAACCCAGCAAAAATAAAAGAATGATCATAGATAATTCTAGGTCTATCCACTGACTTTTATGACTATCTCCCCACCAGTCCTGGGACTTCTGGGAACTGCCCCTCTTGAAGTTTATTTGGGGGGCTCTTCAGGGACTTTGTAGTTTGCTTTGTAGTTTGCTTTGTAGTTTGCTCCCATCCAGCAATTATTTCAAGCAATACGAGCCATGACATGAGCAGACCTAAGCACCTACCAACAGATGAATGGGTACTTAAACTGTGACACACACACACACAATGTTATACTCTCTTCAAAAATAACGATGAGCCTCAAGACCTCTCATAACATGAATGAATTTGGAGGACATTATGCTAAATGAATTAAGTCCATCACAAAAGGACAGTATTACTTAAGGCCGTTATTGTTAAGATAGACAAAGAAGAAAAGGTTGACATCCAGAAAGAGATGTCATGGTCATCAGATAGGAGCATTGGGTGAGGGGTTACTAAGGAGATAGACAAACAAGTTAATAATGGTGAATGGAAAAAGTCAGAATATAAAATGAAAATAATAACTGAGGGAAAACAGAAAAAAATAACAAGTCTATGGAAAACAGTTTTACAGTGACACACATGGAGGCACCGTCAGTCAGAGTTGGCCCTATGGTGACTAGTGACACCTCTCAGAGATGCCCATCTTTGCCCTGGGGTTAAAGTTTGGGAGTAAATCCAATGACTTGTAGGAGGCAGACTGGCCTACCCACTTTAGGGGTCAACCTTGGCCAAGTTAGGACAACTCAGGCTCTCCAGAGATTCCACTGATCAGTTCCATGGAAGGACTGAGCAGGTCATGACCATGTGGCCATAGCTGTCTGGGCAGCTGATTCTGAAGACCAAGGTAGGAGCCTCAGCTACACAGGACACTGACTTAGAGGTTGGGGATCCTTGCAAATGAATGTTTATCGAAGTGAATCAAGGTTTCCAGGAATGGGGCATAGGAAACCCAGATTTTAAATAAGATTTGGGATAATTGTTAAACCCCCAAACAGCCAAACCCACTGCCATTAAGAGTTGCTCATGGTGACCCTAGAGGACAGAGTAGAACAGCTCCTTAAGGTTTCTGAGACTGTACATCTTTACGCAGCACATTTGGTGGGTTTGAACCACTGACCTTGCAGTTAGTAGCCTTAACCCACTGCACTACTAGGGCACCAGGGATGATCACTTTCCTGGCTTAAATTCAGAAACCAATGCCATATCCCACTCCACTTGCAAGACAAGCCACTGACTTTACTCTTTTCATGCACAAATCCCCCCTACCCCCCAAAAAAATTTGTAATGAAGCGTGATCAAGGGAAAGTTCTATAAATGCAAGGACAGTCGCCAAGTTTCCATCTTCTGGTCTGATTTGCTTTCCCAGACGAACAAAAGGATATGTTTTTTCCTCAGGTAGAACAGTAAGTTTATTTCAGGGTCTGGATTCCGCTCGACGACCTGTGTAGAAGAAATTGTTGTGTAGATCAAGGCCACATCCTTCCACCCCTTGTTTCTGAGCACTAACAATCATCTAGAACGAGATTGAGCTAGTTTGCCTAACCCAATCCCATGTCGCTCTTGGCATGGCACTCTATTGTACTTGGCTGTACTTCAGGAGGACAAATCTTTGGCATGGCTTCAGAAGAAAACCACAGAATTTGCATTCTAACCCAAGACTGGCTAGAGGGAAAATATGAAAAGTTTATAAAATATTGACTAACTGTAAACAATTTCTATTATGCGTGGACGTCCTTGAAGGAGAGGAAAGGAGAGTTGCCCCTAAGAGCCTTCATTCATCACCACCGGCAAAACAGACTCTTTGTTCCTTGCTTAAACTGGAAAAGTTCTGGAAACTAGGTCTGGACAGCGGTAGATCCCCCTGCACCCGGAGGGAAGCCTTCATACTGAGCAACGTCCTTCCCTTTAGTGATGGGTTCCTACTGGATTTGTCAGCTTTCTGAGAGAGGGAAGATGACGCAGGAGAAAGAGCACAAACTCGGGGAGGAGGCAGAAGAAAACCAAGAAGAAAATCACTCCCTGCCCTGTGACCACGTTACATAATGGCTCTGAGGCTCTTCTGTGGGCTGTGCAGCACACAGTAATATGCTTCTGTTTCCACTCTGCCTGCCTGCTCTCTGCCACTGGGGCTGGAAACTGGAACTTGGGAGGCACTTCAGGCACGGTGTCCAGGGCAGTGGAAAGCCCAGAGAACGCTCCACATGTGATGTTTGCCTTCGTTAAATCACAAGAGTTCAAACCAAAAATCAGACTGCAAATGAACTTGGATCTTCCCTTTCAGTGACTGAAGAGGCACTGCCTAAAGGAAAAAAGCATTCGATGTCAACCGACTGTGAAAATGATCCCTGGCTTTCCAGCACCACCTCTCTTGCCCTCCTGTGAGAGTTTTATAATTTAAAGGTCAAAAGTTTTATCATTATTTGCAACGGATCCAAAGGTTGGAGGCTCTGATTTTGTAAATCTGAGTGTGGAAGTGGTGGCGGGAGGAAAGCCGGAGGACACAGCGCTGAGGAGGGAAGGGCGGGGAGGAAGCAGAGAAGCAGAAGTTCTAGAGAAAGAGAAGTCGGTGCCTGATTCTGAGTCTCAGGACATCCATATTCCCCAGGACCTTTCTTCTGACCGTCTTCCTTCCTTTCACAAGGAGATGTTTTCCCATTCTCTTCCTCTGACCCTCCCTCCTCCTCTTCTCTCTCCCTTATTTTTCTCTCTTCAGAGAACCGCAAATGTCAGAGTGATGGAAGGGTTCCCTTGTCACTGAGCAAACTCGCAGCTCCCACACCGGAACCTAGTCACTTGAACCTACTATCTTTTAAGCGAACACTAATAAAAGATTGCTTCTGCCACGGTTCCATTCTCCATATGGATTTAGTAGTGGCATTGTTGAACACTTACCTTTCTCCCATTCACAAAGAACACGAGCTCATCTGACTCCTTGGAATGAGACATTGTCCCGGGATAATTGGCTGAAGGCTGTGCTGGAAGGCTGTGGATACCCAGGGGTGGCTTCACCCTGGCTGCTGGATCCTGCTGAGAGATGTGCTAAGGACACTCCCTGCTGGTGGAGCAGCTGCTAGGAGGAGGGCAGGACCAAGTGGAGATTGGGGCCTGCTTTCTGGTGTGTTCCTCCAATCCAGTCCTTGGCTCCCAGGTCTCCTATTTCACCCACTTCCTGTCCTTCCCCCTACTTTCCTCTTCCCTGAAGCCAGTTTGGAACTCCACTCTCCATTTAGTTCTCACACAAGGTAAGGTATGCTTCAGCCTGCGCTGGAGGCAACCCACCGGATGAAAGCCTTCCTTACAAAGACGATGTACAGTATGTTACGCAGGGAAATGGATGAGAATCAAGCAAGTGCCCTGCATTCCCAGTTGCTCAATGGACTCATTTATTTATTTGATTTTAAATGAGAAAACTAATGTGGTTTGTTGTTTTCAAACCACAAATAAAAATCCAAAGTCCCCCTCCACCCCCTTCCCATGTTTGCTTTTCCGAGTTTACTGTTGTCAGATTCTCATGTAACCACACTGAATTTTCCCACATACATGTTAATCTACATGATGCCCGTGCTCATTTTGAAAAAGGAAACCCATGCAGTCATGCTGTTAAAATTTGCCTTTTCTTTTTACACTGAAGTTCCTTTGACTTTCTGTGCATCCGTTGTCTCACCTGTGAAATGGACACCCCAGTAGCTTCTCGCTCAGAGTTGTTGTGAGCTCCCTTTACATCAGCGGATGTGTATAAAGTGCTCAGAGAGTCCACCCTCCAGAAATGTGGAGCAGGCCAAGAGAAGCCTCTGAGCATAGTCTTTCCGCTGTGATGATTACAAAGGGGCTGAACAAGAAGCAGACCCTCAATGGGATGAACTGGCACCGCGGCGGCCACAATGGGCTCACACTTAGAGCTGTGAGGACGGTGCAGGGCCAGGCAGGGTTTTGCTCCGTTGTACGTAGACAGCATCGCTCTGAGTCTCAACACCTAACCACAATGATTACAAATGTGCCTGCAGTAAGAATCCTTTGACTTTATGCTTGGACATTTGAGGAGATAAACTCTTAGAACTTGGATTTTGGAGTTGAAGGGCACGCACGTTGCCTTGTTACAGCTGTTACGTGGCATCAGGATGGCCGTGACTCTGAGCGGCCCAATGTACAGCAGAACCAAACACTGGCCTGGCACTGCCCTCTACCAGGCCCAACTAAAGTGTCCTTGCACATGACAGTACAACTAATTATGTACCAGAGAGTACTTATTTCCCTTCAGCTCCACTGTCCCTGAATATGACATTGGACCTATGACAGTGGACTTCATACTGGGTAAGTCCTTAGAGACTGCTGATGGCTAAGGCTGAGCGGAAGGAATGAACAAACCTTTACCTAAAATATGTATTGATTTCTGCTAAAATGAGTCACTGCTCCTTTAACACCCTTGGCTTGCCACCAGGGGCTCATTGACCTCCCGGAGAGATGGTGCCTGGCTCTGGTCTGTGTTAGGGGGAAGCTCCATCAGCCATGGCAAGTGGGAGCCCTGCTGTTGCCCCTTGCAGAGCCCACCATCACGATTCCTCGCACGCTCTTCGTGTCTGGGTCAGGAGCCCTGGGTGACCCCAGACACGGGCTGGCTAGTGTCCAGTGGCATATTGTTTTCTCTGTTATTTAGGGCCTCTCTCATATCTGGAGGGATATCTAGGGGGTGCTAAGATTCGGTATAAAGATCTTCATCAGTCCTACCCTCTAACATATAGCCATCCATGTGCCTCTGTCCATTTATCCTCTCAGACCCCTGACCAGATGGCTAAACCATTCATTACTACCCATGATTCTAGGTACAGTCAAACTTTGGACCACTTCTATTTTCCACACTAACTAGACAACCAGATGCAGTATTCAAAGCTCTGTGTCCATGAGAGGACTGGCCCTCATTGCTGTGTGCATGAGGAGCTGGAGTCAGCTATTATAGCTGGCTTTCACCTAGTACGGAATTTAGCTTTCAGTCACAATCCTGTGTAGGATTTTCTTTTTCAGGCCCAACTATAGGCAATTGCATTAGGAGCCTTGGTGGTGTAGTGGTTATGCATTGGGCTAAGATACTCATGCTCTGTGATGCTCATGGCCCACTGTTTGGTACCATCAGCAGCTCCATGGGAGAAAGAATGGACTTTCTACTCCTATAAACAGTTTCAGTCTTGGAAACCCAGAGGTTAAAAAAAAACACCTTTCTGTTTGGCTCATTGCTCTAATTGGCCACGTCTACATCCGACTGTTCAACACTCACATGCTGGGTCAACTCATCTGTGAGCCAAGATCAGGCTTTGCTCTTCTCCATAAGCTCGTCATAAGGAGCCCCCCACCCCCACCCTGCTGCCACCATAAGGAGCCCCCCACCCCCACCCTGCTGCCACCACCGCCACAGAGCGCAGGCTGAGATGAAGGAAAGGCATCCATGCAGCTGCCACAGAAAATGGGCCTGGGTTTCCAACTCCGTTGCATCTTTCATTCCTGCTTCTGCTTGATTCTGAAAGCTCCGCTTCCATCTTGCAACACTGCTGCTCGGCCTGACCTCATGGCTTGCATGTTAACCAGATCTGCCGGTTATTTATATACGTCATACACTTTGAGGAGCACTCCATAGTAGAAGACTCCTGTGGGGGGTGGACTGATAACCGATTCCAAGCAGAGAGCACACAAGCAAAGGCTTCAAAATGAGAAAAAGAAAGGGCAGTCTTGGGGATAAAAGAGAGGGGGCCATGAGATCCAACTGGGGTGGTCGGCAGGGCGAGATCCTATAGGGTGCATATACCATCTTAGGGAATGGGGACAGTATTCTGGTGGAATGAAGGGGAAATCATGGGAGGGTTTTAAGCAGGAGAGTAGTCTGATGGTGTGTGTACATAACATTGACTTTAATGTGGCGAATGGCTTGGGAAGGAGGCAAAACGAATGCAGGGAGGTCAGGAGAAGACAATTACAATAGTCAGGGGAGGGCTGTTGGCGGTTTAAAATAACATAGTAGCCATGGAAATAAGCAGAGGCCGATTCAAGAACTCTCTCTGAGGTGGGATTGAAAGGACTTCATTTCTGCATAGATGCAGTAAGAGAATAAAGCATCTTTGTTCACTCCCCCGTTTCTGCTTATCAACTGGTGGATAGCTGCACTGAGGAGGAGGTCTGCTGAAGCGTGGGAAGTTTCAGCCAGAGTCCTTGCGTGGTGCAAATACTAAGTACTGGCTGACAACCAAAAGTTGGAAGTTCAATCTGCTGTCTTAGTTCTCTAGTGCGCCTAGGACAGAAATGCCACAATTAGATGACTAACATGAATTTTATTGTTCATAGGTTAGGAGGTTAGTAGCTAGAATTCAGGATGCCAGCTCTAGGGGAAGGTGTGATAGGTAGGTTTATTGTGCCAACCTGGCCAATAAACACATGTGGGGTTAATAAGGTTGCAGTTTAATTGAAGGGCAAAGAGATAAATGGCTCAGCGAGCCTCGCCTTTCTGTCTCTTGGTCTCTGATGATCGGACCAGTGTGTGGCTGCCTTAGCTAGTTCTCTGCCTCAACTCGCAAGTTACACTACCTGTGGGACACCTAACCCATGGACCATGTTGCTACAGTTGGAGGTTCCTTCGAGACCTGCTTTGCACACTGCTGGTGTATACATCACTTGAGCTGGGGACTATCGAACTCTGTCATCTGGAGGACTGTTGGTGATCTGCCCTGCTGTTTGCTGTCTGTTGCCGGACTGCCTGTATTGCTCTACAGAAGACTCAGCTATCTGCTTCCTTGACTTATACCCAGCAGCTTTCTTGAGTTGAAGGACTGCCAGTGTACTAACTGTCTCACGAAAATGACTTGAACTGAGCCCTCTGTACTGCTCTGTGCACTGAGTAGCTATTTATTTCCTTGTGTTCTTCTATCTATCTATCTATCTATCTATCTATCTATCTATCTATCTATCCATCCATCAACTATCTATCTATCTAAAATCATAAGTGTCCTGGTTTGGTTTCTCTAGAGAACCGTGTCTAACACAAGGCTTTCTCTCTCTTTCAGGTAAAGGGAAAGGTTCTTGTCACTCTTCAACACCTGTGAGCTCACAGTCCCTTGGGGAACTCCATGTGACTTGGCATCAATCTTCCCTTGGGTCTAGGAGAGTCTTAACATAGGAACTCTGGGTTCCAAGGATGCAGCCTTCTTTCAGACAATAACGAAAACTCACAGCAGCCAGAGTGATCCTTTAAAATACGAGTTCCTGTGACTTTTCTGCTCTGCATTTCATTCGTCTCAAAAGCCCAACATCTTGCAATGATCTCAAGGTTCTGACTCAACTCTCACCAACTCCTCTCAACCACACAGGCCTCATTGATGCTCCTTGCAGGGACCATGGACTTTGCTTTAGCGGTTCTCTCTAGGAAATGCACATTCAAGGGGTGTCGACTAGGCTCACATCCTTACTGTCTCCATTTCTTCATCCCTACCTGCCTCCTGCACCTCTCATGTTCCCTCGGCCTCATCTTGCTCTACTCTAACATTTTCCATTAGTCTGATTTGCTATCAGCCATACTCTCGACCTTATTATGATTTTTTAAATTGTCTGCCTTCCTGACCAGAATATTAACAGTATACAAACAAGGATCTCTGCCTGTTTTGTTAACTCATGTATCCCACGGGCCTAAAACAGGACCCAGCACTTAATAGGGCCTCAAGCAACGTAGGTAGAATTGTTGAGAAAAATCTGCTCTTTGAAGAGAGATAGGTGCCCATGGAACCATAACAAGAAAGACTTTAGTCATTACTCTGCGACCATTGAAGATTTGTTCCAATTCCAACCTGGCCACGAGCTAATAGTCCCTGAGTGGAGAGTGGGACAGGGAGTAGATATCATGTATTAAGTTTCTAGTGCTTTATGTCTCAGTGCAGTGCAGGTTCTTCTCATTGTAATTAATAGACCTGAAGTTGCCCAGGGATTATGCCTTGCTGGTCAGCCCTCTTTGAGATTTGGATGTCACTGAAGACCACTAGGGTAGACTTCTTATGACCCTCACAACTTCACAACTTTCCCACGTTTCTCTCTCACATAGAGAACATTGAGCGATAACTCACAGTTCATATACTATCCTAGACAATTACCATTTTTAGCAAATTAGGTTGAACAATAACCACTACCCAATCCTAGAACAGCTTAATCACCCCTAAAATAAATCCCATACCTATTAACCTTCTTTACACTCTCCTCCCAGCCTACAGCCACCATTCTCTATTTTCGATCTCTCTGAATTTGCCTATTTTGAGTATTTCATATAAATGGGTTATTCAATAGGTGGTCTTCGGTTTTAGGGTTCTTTGACTCAGGATCTCAGTTTCCGAGCTCATTCATGTTATAAAATGTGAGGTAGTTAGTTTATTGCGCCACCCTGGCCAATAAACACATGTGGGGTTAATTGAAGGGTAGAGGGATAAATGTCTCGGTGAGCCTGACCTTTCTAGTTCTCGGGTCTCTTGCTTTGTGATGGTCAGACCTGGGTGCAGCTGCCTTAGCAGTTCCCTGCTTCAGCTGGCAATGCTCACTTCCTGCAAGACATTCCTGAGGAGAAGGAACCCCGATGCAGCCCTGGGTGTTGGAGCAGCCATGTGGAGATCCCAGCCAGTGCTGAGATGTTTACATATCCACTGACTTGGCTTTCCTCCTGCAGTCGGCATCATTATATCTATTTTGTGAGATGGAGGAGGACTTTGTGGATTGGTGTTGGACATATGGGTTAATGGGTTAATGTTGGACTTGTGTGCTTGGGCAGCACTGGGTTGGGATGTTTTCTTGATGAGCACTTAACCTTTATATAAAACTCTCTCTTATACATGAGTTTCTGTGGATTTGTTTCTTTAAAATACCCAGACTAACACAACATGTACCAGCATTTTGTTCCTTTGCCTTTGCCTGGCTGAATAATAATCTTTCCTTGAATGGATATGTCGCATTATGCTTACCCATTCATGAGTTGATGAGTGGATTAGTTGGTTTAGGCTGTTTCTAATTTTAGGTTACTATAAATATTACTCTATGAAGATCTGTGTCCCAATTTTGGTGGAAATATATCTTCAATTCTCTTGGGTATATATCTAGCTGGAATTGCGGGGCCATATGACTACTCTATGTTCAATTTTGGAAGAATGGCCAGAGTTTTCCACATTACCTTGATCATTTCACATTTCTATCAAGTGTTTGAAGGTTCCAGTTCCTTCTCTTCCATGCCAACACTCATATTTTCTTTATTGTAGATTTGTTACAGTGAGTGTGAAGCAGCTTCATTTTCATAATGACTAATGATGTTGAACATATTTTTATGAGTTAGTTGACCACTTACTAATTTTCTCTAGAGAAATGCCTGTTCAATGCCTTTATTCATTTTAAAATTAGGTTGCCTTTTATTGTTGGCTTAGAAGAGATCTTTATATATCCTGGATACCAAAAAAACAAGCCTAACTCTTTGCGGTAAAATTGTGATTCATAGCGACCCTACAGGACAGAACAGAACTGTCCCAGAGGGTTTCAAGGCTACACATCGTGAAGGAAACAGACTTGGGAAACTGTAGGCTGTGGGAAACAAATGAGTGTTTTAACCATTGTGCCACCAGTGCACCTCTCTGGCCCATAAGCCAAGATCTCACTGCTGTAGAGTTGATTCTGACTTGTAGCAACCCTATTGGACACAGAAGAACTGCTTCATAGAGTTCCCAAGGTTGTAAATCTTTTTTAATCATTTTATTGGGGGCTCACACAACTGTTATTACAATCCATACATACAGGTGTAAAGCACATTTGTACATTTGTTCCCCTCATCATTCTCAAAACATTTGCTCTCCACTTAAGCCCCCAAGGTTGTAAACCTTGATGGAAAGAGACTGCCACATCTTTTCCTTCAGGTGGCTGCTTAACCCACTGAACCACCAAGACTCTTTTTGGTCAATAGGCTCTTTCTTTCTTAGTCATTTTAGTGGGAGCTCTTACAGCTCTTACAACAATCCATACATCAATTGTATCAAGCACTTTTGTACATATATTGCCATCATCATTTCCAAAACATTTTCTTTGGTATCAACTCCTCTTTTTCCCCCTCCCTCCCACCCTTGTGAACCCTTGATAATTTAGAAATTACTTTTATTTTCATATCTTACCCCATCCGCTGAATAGACTCTTTAATTATAATGTCTGGATCCATTCTGACGAGAAAAAGAGGTGACAGCATAGGGAGAAATTGTTTAAAAAATTGCCTTTCCCTCAACAGTGTAATTTCTTTTGGTGGATACAAGGCAACTAGGAATCACATACAAGTCATCATCTTCTACCCCATTCCACTGGATGGATTTGAGAGACAGAGTAATGGAGAAAAGAGGCAATCAGGACTTACACAATTTTAAAATGATCTCTAAATTGCTTGCGCGTATCTTTCAAAATCTAAATGGCACATTTCAAATCAGCTTGACATAAAAGCGACATTGTGGAGTCATGTGTAGGCTGTGGGAGTCTGTCCACTGGACTGGGAGTGTCAGAGCAGAGACTGGACAGACTGTGAGGTCCGAAGAGGCACACCGTCTTCTCCAGAGCGTTAGACTTGATTCACACAGGGACATTCCAAGGAATATAAGATCCAGGTTCATCTTTTGGAATCTAGAAGCAAAGAACACAGAAGGATGTTTGTGACTGCTTAGGTAAAACATAGCAGAATACAAAATCTGCCCCAAACCACCTGGAGGGTGGCGAGGGCCAGGAGGAGCCTGGGAACGACCACCTATGAAGGGTGGAGGGTCCCGAGGGCATCCCTGTCGGGGCGGGGATCCACTAGAGTTGTCTCACACTTGAAGAGAGACAAATGAGAAATGGAGGCGCTCTCTGTGTTTCGATAGATGTGAGGGGTGATTATCACAGCAGGCATTTGGGGAAAGTGACCACGATGCCACAAGGCCAGTGTGTAAAGAGGTACGGGGCTTTCCTCTCCCTGTGAGAAATCATGTAGCCAGGAGAGTCACTGTGAACAGAATCATTGCACCCCCTCAGTGAGGTACCCGTCCCTAAACACCCCCGAGGAGAAAAGAGCTCGCAGGTGGTAAGTTAATAACACTTGAACACAAGAACAATGGCCTCCATCGCTGTGTTTCCTCCGGGGACAAAGCATACCATGTTTGTGAACCTGTCTTCACAGGCCATTCGAATCTTCTCCGGGGTCAGTGGGCTATGAAGCTTCAGTGGCCCAAACTGGCCTCTCTCCTGCCGAGCTGCCCTTAGTGCGTCATGGATTGCAAAAAACACAGAACATCCCAGGAATAGTCCAGACTCCCCCAGACCCTTGAAGGGGAAAAAAGCCCAACTAGATTATGACTTAAAAAGAAAAAAAATTCACATACACAAATGAGGGAAGGAAAAGGTATTGCTACAAAATCATAGAAATCTTTATTAAGCAATACAAAAATGGGACGTTGTTGTTTCTTAACATAGCCTCCATCTAAATCTATGCATTTCTTTTTTCTTAAACACTTTTATTGGCACTTCATCTACACATCATATAATAATTCAACCACATCAAGATGAGTTAGTTGTTCAGTCTTCACCACAATCTTAGAATATTTTCCTCTTCCTTGAACTCATTGTGATTCATGTAAATTTTTTTTCAATTTTGGCAAAAATACACACAACACAACATTCAGTCTATACGTTCTGAAGACCTCACTTCCATCTCTCACCCTTCTCTGAAGAACTCTGCCGTACTCCATTCAGACCACTCGCAAGTAGAACTTCTGGCATCCTGGTGGGACTCCTCTGTGCTCCTCTGAAGCATCCGGTCCATGTGGGGCACCAAAAGAAGGCTGACTATCAGGTGGTAAGACAGACGGAGGGGACAAGTGTCCCAAAGAGCTTCTCACAGGACAGCCTGGGCTGTTCTCAAAGAATGAGCCTTGTCATGGGAAAAACAATATTGCACCATGGAGGTGACCTGGCCCGTTTCTCACCAGTGCAAATTTCCGTTTTCTTAAAGTTTCTTCCTAAAAAGCTCCTGTGATCATCCTGAGTCCTTGGAGAAAAACTATCAACATTTTCTTTCTAGTTTGCCCCCGATCACTCTGCATAACCTTCCGAGCTGTCTTCTCTCACTTGGATTTGTCTTTGAGGTCTTCTCAGCCTCCCTGAAAATACTGGATTTATCTAAAAACGGTTGCACGTGGAGCAGCACTTGTTGTAAACGTGTTGCAAAGCTTCGGTGAGTTGGGAAGATGTTCACTTGAAAAACCTTCTTGTTAAATTTTTTAACCTTAAAATCGTTTTGTTTTGTTGGATGGCACATGACAGCACTTACCTGCAGCCATTCACTGATTACAAGATTTGTTCAAACTCATTCTGTTTGGGATAAACCCATGAACTAGAACCCTGACAACAATATCTTTGAACTTACTTTGTGTGTGCATGCGTGTTTGTGGCCTTCTACATGCTATATGATACTACATATGCACACATGTACTATAAATAATGCATATATCACATACGATTAGATACCAAGGGGTCTGCAACAAATTCCTGGAAAAATCCCATGATCTCTAAAGTCCATTTTCCATGAACGTTTTGAAGCCCCCTCATATATGTAACATTTCATTAGAACAAGTTTGTTTTTTGGCCCAGTGTTCCCATTCTCAGTATTGTTGGCCTAAGGAAATACACTCAAATTGAGAAAGCAGATAGAGGCATGATGATGAGGGTTGCAAGATGAAAAATCAGATGCATTCTGACTGACAGCCATAGCAGTTCGTGTTAAGCAGTAGGATTTGCAGTGTTTTTTTGTTTTGTTTTTTCTTTTAGTGTCTAATGTTAAATTGCTTGGAGTTAAATCATTTAACAGGGAATTTTCTTCAATAATCTTGTTAAAACAAATCTAACAAGCAAGAGATTAAAAATAGCTCCCACCCCCTGCCACATACACACAGACACCCTGCAGGTCTACAGTACCCATAGAAAGAAGCTTACCTTCGATGAGTACAGGGTATTTGAGTTTTCAGGTGAAGGCAACAGAGAAATGTGCAAGGCGGTGGGGATATCACCGACAGCGGGGATTTTATATCGGTTCGGGCCACGGGTACGCAGGACACCCTGAGGAGAATAATTCAGTTCCTCTAGTGTGTAAAGTCCCATGCCTTGAATAAAAGCTCCTTCAATCTGAGACAAAAAATAGAATTTCCACATATGAGAAAATATGCTCGACAGTAATGGCATTTAAACATCATGCTGCTACAAATGTTAAAATACAACTTAAGAGGGTTTTCTGGATGTAGTGGAGCATGTCTCTGAACATTTTCCCAAGAAAATTTCTAAACATTTTGTTCAACATCAAATTCAAAGTCAAGGGTCTTGGGTTCTAATCTTGATTCTGCTGCTAAAACAATTCCTCTAGAAAAGGTCTTCAGAGCGTCGGTAGCCCATATTCCCTCATTTGCTTCTGCTAACTGCAAGGTCAGTGGTTCAACACCCACCCCACCCCCACCCCACCCCCACCCCCACCCAGCCACTCCTCAGAAGAAAATGAGATTATCTGCTCTCTTGAAGATATACAACCTCAGAAACCCTATTTAGGGTTGCTATGACTCAGAATCCACTTGATGGCCATGGGTTTATCTTTTATTTTGTCTTGATTTTTTGTTTATGAGGCAGTTAAGATTAAGTTCTCGACTACTAACTGAAAGGTTGGCAGTTTGAACCCACCCAGAGACACTTTGGAAGAAAGGCCTAGCAATTTGCTTCTGAAACCTTGAAACTCTATCTACTGCAATCCTACTGTGTGACACACAGGGTTGCCGTGAGTTGGAATTGACTCAGTAGCAACAGGTAGGTTTCGGGCTGTACAAGGTGCTGTTATGATTGCTGCCAGGTGCTGTCAAGTCAGTCTGACTCTAAGCAATCCAATGCACACCAGAACTAAGCACCACCCGGTCCTGCCTCATCCTCACAACCGATCTAATGTTTGAGCCCATTGCTGTAGCTACTGCATCAATCTATCTCACCTAGGGCCTTCCTCGCTCTGGCTGCCCCTCCACTGTAACAAGCATGGCGTCCTTCTTCAGGGTCTGGTCTCTCCCGATCACATGTTCAAGTGCATGAGATGAAGCCTAGCCACCCTTGCCTCGAAGAAGCATTTTGATTGTACTTTCTCTAAGACAGATCTGTTTGTTCTTTTGGTAGTCCATGGTACTTTCAATATTCTTCGCCGACACCATAGTTCAAATGCATTGATTCTTCTTTGGTCTTCTTTATTTAATGTCCAACTTTCACATGCAAATGAGGTGAATGAAAATACCCTGGCTTATGTTAGGTGCACCTTAGTCTTCAAAGTAACACCCCTGCTCTTCAAAACTTAAAAAGGTAGCTGTGTTAGTCTGGGCTGACTAGAGAAGCAAATTCATAGACACTCATATGTGCATAAGAAAGAGCTTCATATAAAAAAGCAATTGTATATTGAGAAAACATCCCAGCCCAGACCAGATCAAGTCTATAAGTCCAATATTAGCCCATATGTCCGATACTAGGCCATAAATTCCTCTTTAGACTCATGCACCACATTCAATAATGCTGAATGCAGGAAGATCACAGGCCAGTTGGTAGAAAGTCTTGTGGATCCAGTGGCAGTGGAAGCATCTCAACGCAGGCATGGGTATCCAAGAGTTTCCTCCAGCTCTCTGATTGTCTCAACCACAGGAAAGGGAAGGCAGAGAGTATGTGTCCTGCCTCCAGGAAGGAAGACAGGAGTTCCCAGAATCCTCAGAAGGCCATATCCCACACAGAGGCATTATTGGCTATGACCTGATTCCCTTCGCTCAAGTTGACTGGAGATTATGTAACTGCCACAGTAGCCAAGTGCTTTGTCTACAGACACCAGCATACTAGTGAGGATATCAGGTGTGGCGGATCCCATCCTCTCATCCCACCACACTGGCTCGTGAGCAGACCAGCCTCACGTCTATGGACTCTGTTTCTTCCCTTGTGCCATAAGCGTTTGAATGGATGCGCTAAGCTTTAACATATCTGAGGTATTCGTTTCATGTCATGTGGTCAACATTCTCTTTCCACAGAATTTTTTAATTTCTACTTAGTTGATTTCTTTCCTATGACCACACTTTCTCCATGCCATCCCTTTGTTTGCTTGCATTAACGGGGTGCGTAGTATCTTGTGTTCTATCGTAAGGATTAGATGAAATCTTCCTGAAACAACAAACCACTCCCCAGTCCAAGTCACTTCTGCCAACCAATCTAGGTGCCCATCCTTGGAGCACACAGTCCTCTTCCACGATCTCGTCCTGGCCTCCTGTGCCACTCCTCCGACACACGTGCCTCCACTGTCATCAGCTCTCTTCTCGTTGCCAGCTGTGAAGATTTACTCCAGGGTGATTTTCCCCACTCTCCCCTGACCCAGCTTGTTTTCCTTGACCAGCTGATCTACCTCCAGAGTCCCTGAAGCCTCCTTTGATTCCCCAACTCCTGCCTCGTCCCATTCTCAAACGATATAGTGGTCCTGATCAGAGGGCCAATTAGATTCGGTTCTGAAGTTCAGATAGAGAAATGCAGGCGAAGAACACAGTGGGGTTTCCAAGCAGGTCTGTCATCCTAGACGTGGAGCATAAGTGACTCTGAAGATGCCCCCAGCTCTCTGAGTGTTTCAGCCACTACCCATTTCCAACCCACTTTGCTCTTACAGGAAATGTGCGTCCTGTCTTGGAAAATGGATGGTTTCATCAAGAAAAATGAGGCATTGGGTTTTTTTTTTTAATGACAAGCAGCTTGTGATTTTTAATCTTAACCACTTATTTCAAATTGTAATTAAAAAAAAGATATCTTTGGGAAAAATCCCACTGCTCTTTTAATCATTTGATGGTTGTTATCCCACCCCAATTTGAAATTCTCTTAAGACAGAGCCTGTCATATGCCCAAGACTCAGCCCTCAGCACTCTGCTTCCATCTAGAGATTTGGGGGATCGTTTTGTCAACTCTAGACTTGCCTCATCTAAGCACCACAATCACAGGCTGAACATTTCTTCGAAAATTACCTCTCTATTAAAACAGTAAGAGATTTGAACTCTGGATAGACCTGCCTTGAAAGGTTTTGACTGAAGGGGTAGAAAAATAAGATGATGAATAAGTCAAATGGCATGTTTTGCCTGTAGATCCCCAAAGCAGGTTTATAAACCGGAAGAGAGCAAATTAGTTCCACATACCTGGCCTATGTCAAGGGCTGGATTGATACTGCAGCCAGCATCCATGACAATGTCTGTTCTGATATTCTAGTGATAAACAAGAAATGTCATCATTTTATTTTTAATGAAAACAACTTAGAGAGAAGAAGCTAAGAAGTAGGTTGGCATTGATATAGAACCTTTGTTGGAAGGCCGGGTTATTTTAGGAGAAGGAAGCAACAAAGATTTGATTGTGTGAAAAAGGCAGGCTTTCAAAGTTACATCAATACTCTTCATAGGCTTAAGCTGCGTTTATTTCCCCCTGGGACACAATGGGAGATCAATATTTACTTGCCCTTAAGCTGAATGATGCAACAGGTTGAGTTTAATCCACCACAACCGACTTAGCAGAGGGCACAGCAAACAGAAAATGCCCACAAACGTCCCCACTGTATCCCCCTTGCAAACTCTGTGGCTGTCCTACAGCCCAGTAACCATGGACTTATGGGTGAGGCGTGTTTACCAAACCACAGAACCCATTGTGTGTCAGGAACTAAAGGGCTTTGAACTGCCATCTGCTGTTCTAACATTTTCACTTTGGGGACAGAGAGGAGATTAATCTGACATCACAGCTTGGTAACCAAAAGTTCTCAGGAGGCAAGACAGCAGGCCCAGACAGCTTGTCAGTCACACTTGTGCTGCTAAAGCCGGTCGGTACCTTCTTTTATGTTTCATGTGGTCTCTGCATGACATGTGCATCCTGCTTATCATTATTAATAGCCCATAAGACGCCCAAAAGTTTCACTATTGGATCTGGAACTTTCCTAGGCAATTGTAACAGCAAACGTATATACAAATATGTAAAGATGTAAATAGCTATATAATGATAAAGTATCACTGCCTAGAATATATTACCATAATAAAAGGGATTTCTCTGTCTTCTATACATACACAATGAAAGGTAACATTCTCTTTGACAGCAGCTGGTGAGGCTGGTCTCCCAGGAGACACAGGACCTCAGGTCAAAGGTAAGAGGACTTGCTCCGTTATGTCTGCCCTGTCTATGAGGGTGCACTGTCAAAGCCCATGGCCTCCTTTGTCATGGTCCTGGATTGTGGTGGCCAGTCTCCAAGGTTGCCCTCACCCATCTTATCTCCATGGATTCACACCCTTGGGGATTGTCCCGGGACTGGTCTGTGTGATCAATAGTCTACAGCAGAAGGGATGATATGTCATTTCTGAGCATGGGTTGCTGAAGACTGTGGCTTCCCAATGTAAGGGACAATTCGTGGGTCATTTGTGGCTAGGTGTTGTTGCACAGCTAACCTTCAAGGTTGGTGGTTTGAACCTCATCTTAAATGTGATTTGAAGACTTTCCCAATGGATACTGACCTTATGATCCCCTGTCAGACAGTCAATTTCAACCTCGGAACAGGCAGCTCCATACACAAAATATTCGAAGGGATGCCCTGTGCCTTTCTCCCAGTCCATATTTAACTCATAACCCCTGGAGGATACAAGAATTCTTGAGGAGTATGGTGAAGTGATCAAGTCATACAACCACAGACCATAATAATTAAACAGACCCACAACACCCATGCTTCAGTTGTATTCACAGATAACCAGAGAGACACTTCCCATTGCCAGTACCAACACAAAATGATTGCTCATAAAGTCTGCTAAATAAATCAACGCTTACTTCCTTCTTAACTCAAGAGTCCTGGTGGTGTAGTGGGTATGTGTTGAGCTTTGATATGCAAGGTCATCAGTCAGTTCGAAACCACCAGTCTCAGAAACTCACAGAGGGTTGCTATGAGTCTTATTTAACTTGACTTATTTGATATAAAAAAGTCCATCACTAAAAATCAATGTATCATATCCCTGGAGCTGGCTGATAGCTTTATGATTACCCATCCCGTTGGCTAATATTGAATCACAGGATGCTATTGCCTCTGGAGTCTCTGGGTGGTGTCCTCAGACTTGGCAATTCAGCCTGCATTTGTTCACCACACAATTTCAAAGATGCATAGTTGCCTACTTTGTCCACCTTTCTGGTACAGGATTCCATCTCCTATGTCAGAAATCAGGCCAGCTATGACCGTAACACTTGTTTAATGACACCAAATGAATAGCGACGGTAGAGAAAAGAATAGGCCAGCAACTCTCTGTCCCTCTCTCCTCTGCTTCCCAGCCTAGAGGTGGCCATTAAAAAATACCTTGTGCCGTTTATGCCTGGGCTTATGCCTAACAACCAGTCAGTGACCAGAACTTCCATCACAACTGGCAAAGTGGCAAAACTGGGAAGGTTCTCTGTACCATTCTGCTCTCTTAACACCTTCCGCCTTCCATGAAAATAACCAGATAAATTGTTTTCCAAAGTAGATGAGTTCTAGTTGGTCCATACTTAGCCAACAGGTTATTGTCCAATGTCTCATTTTTGGTCAATCTAGAAGATGTAAGATCATGTCTATCTTATTATGGGCTTAACTTTCTTTCCTCTCTGAGCCCTGGTGGCATAGTGTCTATGTACTGGACTGCAATCTGCAAGATCACCAGTTCAAAACCACCAGCAGAAATGTGGGAGAAAAAGATAGGGCTTTCTACTTCCATAAAGAGTTACAGTCTCTGACTCTCACAGGGCAGCTCTCCCCTGTCCCATAGGGTCAATACCTATGAGTTGGTATTGACTTCAGGGCAGTGAGTTTTCCCTTAGCTTTGTTCTTTAGCTTGAGGGACTAATTCAGATTGTGGTAGCAATTGAACAACACTACAATACCCATTGTTCAACTGATATAATTGAACTATGGAATGGTATGCTGTCTGGGTTAGCTCCTAATAAAATGGGGAAAAAAATGTCCATCACTGCTGTGGATTCCAAGTATAATCCCCAGAGAACCACCTAATGTCTATATGATTTGAATTATTAAATAAGTTGAATTTGACTTGAAAATACCTAGAATACCCAAGAAAAGTCTTTCTAAACGCTTGGGTTAGCTAGCAGTTTAATGTTCTTTATGATACTGGCTAGTACAGTGGTTCTCAGACTTCCTAATGCTGCGACCCTTTAATACAGTTCCTCATGTTGTGGTGAGCCCCAACCATAAAATTATCTTCGTTGCTACTTCATCACTGTCATTTTGCTGCTGTTATGGCTCGGGCAAACCCTGTGAAAGTGTCGTTGGGCCCCCAAAGGGGTCGCAACCCACAGGTTGAGAACTCTGGGCTAGTGGAAGGTATGAAAACAATTTTTTCCATGATTTCTATGCTTAAAATACTTCCTCGAGTCTCTAAAATATCTATTCTAAAATATAGATATATAATATGCAGTTGAAAGTACTACCTACCTGAAGTAGCCAGTAGCTGAAAGACTAATGCTTTCACCAAAAGCAGCCCGTGCCTATGAGCAAAGAGCATAACATGCTGAATCAAGGTTGTGTCAAAACCAAAAAGGTCAACCACTTCAGACTTCTACTTGAAGTTGACTATGTGGTAAGTAAAGTCATCAGCAGAAATAACAGAAAAGGATCAAGATTAATTTATTCAGTTCCACAGGCTCCATCTCTGCAGACATTAGTGGTACTTGGCTTGTAGTAACAGCTTTGGCACAATGCATATGGTTGTAATAAATGACTGTCTTGATCCGTTACCTTGGGCTACAGTGCTCTGCTGATGAAGAGCTCCACTCAGTCATCTTGAAAGACTTAACTGATTAACAAGAAGCATTTCCAGAAAGAATGGTTGGCTGGGTGTTTAATTTTAATATCACACATCCAGAAGTTTTAGAAAAGGGGAATCGTGTTGCTAAGTTGTGCCATTCATACCAAAAGTTCTGACAGTGATGTACACAGTGGACTACTAGCTAACATGACTGAGGTGTGTGTCCAAGTCCCCGATGCGAGAGTGGTAGGTGGAAGCATGCGGGAAAAACCTGGGCTGAGGAGCAGCATCCCATGATGGTGGAGAACCAGTTTCTTCACACTCTGTCTCCCCCCAACTTTCTGTACCTCAGGGCTCAGGCAATACAGACAGCAGAAGGCCAAAGACAGAGATAAATATGCTCAGAGAATATCCAGATTTTCCAATTATGAATTATAGCTCTAACATGATGGGACAGCTGGAACCATTTCTAAATCGAACTTCTCAAGGGTTACTTCCCCCAGAGCAGTGCTTTTCAATGTTACAAAGACAGATACTTGGGAAGAGTCAGCGCAACATACACTCAGCCTTGCCTGAGCTCTGTTCCACATGCCCTGATACTTTACAGCCCATTACTTTGAAAAGTTTGCTGGCTGATTTCAGAATGTGTGTCTTCTCTTCGAACTCAAGTGCCTACAGAGCAAAGGCAGGGGTCAAGGGTCTTTCTGCTCCACGGCAGACACTTGGAACTCATACCTGATGACTCGGATGCCTAGGTCTACCTGAGCGCTTCCCAGGTTTCACTTTGATAGAAGGATTCTACTCTGGCTTCTCCACTGGAGGAACGGCGGAAGCACAGAGATGGAGAATAAGAAGATCGACAGCTATTGTTAGAAAATAGCTTTGTTCCACAGGAAGAAAGTGAAGAAATTCTTGCCTGATATGGAGTTCTGGACAGAAGGACTAACTTTTCCTTGAACAGCCAAAGAATCCATACAAGTTTTCCTGCTGCAAGAATTCCTACAGCAAGTTATGATAGGATTTCTACCTGTTGAGATCAGCCGGTCTCTTGTTTATCATGCTACAACTGTAGAACCTTAAAAAATGCCCTTAGCTCACGTGTATCCTAATCCCACATCTCTCTTACTCGTCGCCCTCCTTTCTGTCCTAACATAAAGCAGAGAGAGGAGTCCTGGTAATGTACTGGTTATGCGTTGGGCTGCGATTTGCAGGTTGCCCAGTTCAAAACCCCCAGCCACTCCTTGAGAGAGGGCGGGCTTTCTAGTCCTTGTAACAGTTACCATCTCAGAAACCCACAGGGGCAGTTTTGTCCTGCCCTATAGGGTTGCTATGAGTTAGCATCGACTGGATAGCCAGCAGTGAGTGAAAACATAGAGAAACAGTGATTCTCACCCAATCCTTCCAAGTTCCTCGGGGATTCTTGCTGATGATGGGTTCAAGGCGTTTCCAAAGAGTTTGACATGCATTCTAGAGATTAGTTTTTGTAGTTAATAAGATCATAACATGGGAGAGAAAGCATACAGAGAAGCATTACATTTACTAAATAAATCAAGGCCATGTCTGTGTTCAGATAGCTAATAAACAGCAGGGCTAGGACTTAACCCTGGCAGTCTAGTGCCAGCCACCCTTCTTAGTTCTAACTCGCTACCATGGATTGGTGTCTGCTCTGTGCTAATAGTCTAGGGTAGTGGTTCTCAAGCTGGGGATATCTTTCATTGTCTGGAGATACTTTGGGGCACCACTGTTGGGGAGCGTGTGCTATTGGTATCTACTGAGTAGCGTTCAGGGGGTGCTGCAATACATCCTACAATCCACAGAACAGCTCCCCTGCAATAGAGTTTACTCAACCCCAAATGTCAATAACATCATGATTCAGAAACCCTGGTCTGTTGGAGAGACAGATATACAAATGACAACTTTAAGACAACATGATACAAGTCATGATAGAAGCCTATTTAGGAGGGCCAGGCGAACACAGAGAAGGAAGAAGTGGATGCAAAAAGTTTCACATAGGGTATGTATGCTACTGAAGTATGAGCTAGTTTTCTAGACATACCACCGAGGACGAGGGCCAGATTGTAAGGGCATGGTGGCCTAGTGGTTACATGTTCGGCTGTGATCCGAAAGGTCAGCAGTTTGAACCACCAGCCATTCTGTGGGAGAAAGATGGGGGTTTCTATGCCCATGAGGAGTTACAGTCTTGGAAACCCATAGGAACCGTTCTCCTCTGTCCTTTAGGGTTACTTTGGGTCAGGATTGACCCACTAGCAGTGAGCTTGGGTTTCATTTTAAGAAGTCAAAGGCTAAAAGAAAATCCATTGGTCTAGAGGTCAGTTTTCAAACTTGACGCGGTCAGCTTGGCTTTGTAGACAAAGTCACTTTAGCTGGGGTGTGGAAAACAGTGAAAACTCAGTGGAGCTGGTGGTGGAGAGACCGGAAGCTAAAGGCCTGGGAAATGTGGGAGTCTGAATAGAACAGTGATGGTAAGGTAACACAGATATGGAAAGACACTGATGTTGTGGAAGTGGAATGCATAAGACTGGCTGACCGGTAAGATGTCAGGAGGAAGGGAGAGAAAAACAGGTGGTATTCTCAGTCGGGAGACCTGATGTGTGTGGTAGCACTGACTACTACACATAAGACACTTGGGGAGCAGCAGCATCGGGCTCAGGGAAGGGCCTCAGAGGCAGGTTAATGCTCCGAGTCTTCTGAGCTCCACTAACCCTGATGAGGTTAGTGATTCGGATGCTACCACAATGATTCTTACCTGCACTGCCAACCCATTGATATCTGCCGCCAGCGACCCTCCTGAGACACTTGTATTAGGGACAGTTTCTGTGCTGGTTCCACGCAGGTGAACATTGGACATTGGCATCCTTAATTCACGGCTGACCACCTGGATT